GAACTTCGTAAGTGGGCGATCAAGGAAGCTCATCGGGATGGTATCCCACTTGGGGATAAGTTGCATGAGGCCACACGCAACACAGAACTCAAGGAGTTGCACTTCACTTCTCAGGTGGCACTCTCCAAGCGCTCCGGACCTGTTGATCCCCCGCCCCCGGCCAAGTGGCCCCGCAAGGGCAAAGGTGAAAAGGGTGAGAAGGGCGGTAAGGATGGCAAGGGTCCGAAGGGCGGGAAATCCGATGGCAAGATCAAGGTTGGCGAGACTTGGTATGACCTCGTCTCCAAGACCCCTGACGGCCGCGAGCTGTGTTACGCTTACAACATCAAGCGTGGCTGCCAGGTCAAGGGATGTCAGCGCATTCACGCCTGCCGCATCAAAGGATGCCAGGGCAACCATCCCGCGTATCAGCATGGGGCGCAAGGTGGGTCCTGACTTCGGCACGCGCCTGCGACTTCTTCGAATTCGATAGGTGATTCTACTTCGGGGGTGCGGCCTACTTTGCGGGTTCTCTACCTCTTTTCTGGGCCTGCTCGTAAGTCCGACGTGCGCCGCTCCCTGGATGCAATGTGCATAGATCACTCCATTACTTTGGCCATGGCTGAGATAGACGTCTGCCGGGACCCAAGTCTGGATCTTTTGGACCCTGCAGTCTCCGAACGGTGCCTGCGGGAACTCACGAATTTGGAATGGGACGTCGTTTTGGTGACGCCTCCTTGCAGCACATTTTCGAGGGCACGATGTGTGCAGCCGGGTCCTCGGCCCCTTCGGTCACGGCTGTATCCTTTGGGCTTCCCTTGGTTGTCTGATGTTCATCGTGCACTCGTGGACAACGGCAATGCATTTGTTTCTTTTTCTTTCAAGGTCTGCACAACCGCTCTTTTGCATGGTATTCCTTTCTTGTTGGAGCACCCAGAAGACCTGGGACGGACTTCGACGGGCCACACTCCGGCATCCATTTGGCAGCTTCCGGAGGCTGCAGCGCTTTTGGGACATGAACATGTTTTCAGTTTTGCCGTGTATCAATGTCAGCATGGTGCGGACTCTCCCAAACCGACACGCTTTCTCACTTCGATTCAGGCGGCTCAGCATATGCCACACATGGGCCCACCCCGCTTTGACTCCGAGGACAAATATGTGGGCCCATTACCGCGCTATTGTGGCCATCGCCACAAACAGCGCCTCTTGGGGACATCTTCTACTTCTGCGGCCGCGGCCTACCCCGGGGACCTCTGTGCATTGATTTCCTCTTGGGTTTTCTCCGTCTTCGATGGGGGAGGTACTTTGGCCACTCGGGATTCTTCGGAGTTCGTTTTCAGTTTTCCCCCGCTGGATTCGTCTTGGAAGGCGGACCAGGTGGGCCCTTTACATCCGGCCGAGCAGCTGTCCCTCTCTTGCTTGAAGAATGGACGGATATCGCAAGGTCAGCTCCTTCGTCTTTCAGATTTACTTCCCGACGAGGACCGTGTCAGAGGCTCGGACAAGGCCATATCGGGGCAAAGGTCCTTCACCACGGGGGCCTTTGTTCACCAGGACAAGGCTGGGCTTCGACGCAACGTGGGGAGTTTTCCTTTTACGTCTAGGCTCCTTGCGGGTTTGACTTCGAGTTGCTTTCAGGGCCGGGTCTTTTCTTCGCTGGCTTTCTTTCGGGATATTAAGCAGCCTGCCCATAAAGACACCACCAACGGAGCTTATGAGAACTTGCTGCTTGCTTGCTCGGAGTTCTCTGGAGGGGGCCTTTGGGCCCAATCTGACGAGGGCACCTGCGAGCGACTGGTCAACGGGATCGCGATGACTGGTTGTGTGCTTGACTGGCAGGACAGAAAGATTATCTTCAACCCCCACCGGTGGCACTCCACCGAGGACTGGGCAGGGTGCAGACTGGTCTTAGCTGCTTACACCATCAACAATGACGGGCTCCTCTCCTTGAAAGATCGGGACAGACTTGCTGATTTGGGTTTCAGGCTTCCGGGGCAGAACAAGAGACCTCTGGAGACGACGGTGGCCGAGACTGAGATCGATGACCTGGACTACAGTGAACTGAAGTCCGGATGCGAGGGGCCTCCCTTGACAGGTGACTTTGCGGGCTCCGCGGACGAGTTCGTGGATGGCTTTGGGAGATGCTCGCCGGGTCGATGGAAGCCTTCCAATAGGGGGCGATGCATGTCTCCTTCGGCGGTCACCTTCGCGGAGACCCTCAAGGCTCGGGTTCGTCGCTTCGTCACCGAGAGTGTTCCTGACTTGGCGAAATCGACTTTTCGTCTGGCGACGGGACACTGGGATGGGCCGCTGTTTCCTGCAGAGGCCTTGGACAAGCTTCGGGAAGATTGGTTCGTTATGCTTCCGGATCCCTTGAGGGCTCGTGAAGTTACGCCCCACCAGCCTTTCTTTCTTCGGGCCATGTCACAGACTCTTCAGATTCTTGAGGATCCGGATTATCAGGTGATCGAAGAGGGCAAGTTCTGCTTCTG